CAATCAACAATGTCTCTCCTTAGGACTGGATGGTGAGGCAACGGTGTATTACGATATGGCTATAACATGAACAGCGAATATCTGCCATCCTAGAACTAAATATTTCTACTCTTGAGGTAACCCCACTCTACACATACTAAAAGTCTAATTTTTCTAGTAGAACTGTGATGCAAATAAAAATTCATCTGCAGGGCTTCCCTGGTGGCACAGTGGTTGAGAGTCCGCCTGCCGATGCAGGGGACACGGTTTCGTGCCCCGCTCCGGGAAGATCCCACATGCCGCGGAGCAGCTGAGCCCGTGAGCCATGGCCGCTGAGCCTGCGTGTCCGGAGCCTGTGCTCCGCAACGGGAGAGGCCACAACAGTGAGAGGCCCGCGTACCGCAAAAAAAAAAAAAAAAAATTCATCTGTAAAAGTGGAAAAAGTAAATATGAGGTCAAACAGCAGGTCTGTGCCCCATTAGAAGGCTGCCGACAATTTTTTAAATGAAAGAAAGATATCAAGAGTACACTGTACATAGGGTTAAAGTTGTCTGATAAAATTTTTGGTTCTTATACATGAATTGATATATAGAGTCATGTGTGAAATGGAATTCTTATTATGGGTCTTCGTCAAAAAATTTTTGTGAGTCACTGCATAAGATCTCCAAGATTACAGCCAGTGCTAAAAACAAAATCTATTTTTGTTTTGTTTTGTTTTGTTTTGTTTTTCAGTACGCGGGCCTCTCACTGTTGTGGCCTCTCCCGTTGCGAAGCACAGGCTCCGGACGCGCAGGCTCAGCGGCCATGGCTCACGGGCCCAGCTGCTCCGCGGCATGTGGGATCTTCCCGGACCGGGGCACGAACCTGTGTCCCCTGCATCGGCAGGTGGACTCTCAACCACTGCGCCACCAGGGAAGCCCAAAAAACAAAATCTATTTTTAAAAATTCATTAACAGGGCTTCCCTGGTGGTGCAGTGGTTGGGAATCCACCAGCCAGTGCAGGGGGCACGGGTTTCATCCCTGGTCCGGGAAGATCCCACACGCGGAGCAGCTCAGCCCGTGTGCCACAACTACTGAGCCTGCACTCTAGAGTTCGTAAGCCACAACTACTGAGCCCACGTGCTGTAACTACTGAAGCCCGCGCGCCTAGAGCCCGCGCTCCGCAACAAGAGAAGCCACCGCAGTGAGAAGGCCGCACACTGGAACGAAGAGCAGCGCCCGCTCGCCACAACGAGAGAAAGCCCGAGCGCAGCAACGAAGACCCAACACAGCCAAAAATAAATAAATAAAATAAATAATTTTTTTAAAAATTCATTAACAGCTTTTAACTACTTTTGATAAAAGTGTAGTGTCCAACATACTTAAAGGTAAAATTTAAAAGATTTAATTTTTTCAACAAGTACATAATCTAAAATTAAAAGTATAAGAAACACAAATAGCTAACAAGATAATAACGCTTATTTTTTATTTACTTTGCGGTACGCGGGCCTCTCACTGTTGTGACCTCTCCCATTGCGGAGCACAGGCTCCGGACGCGCAGGCTCAGCGGCCATGGCTCACGGGCCCAGCCGCTCCGCGGCATGTGGGATCTTCCCGGGGCGGGGCACGAACCCGTGTCCCCTGCATCGGCAGGAGGCCTCTCAACCACTGCACCACCAGGGAAGCCCCAAAACGCTTATTTTTGAAACATGAAACACCCAAGAACTAGGTCTCTATAATAAGATGCACCTGGGATTTTCTATTTACTTTACAGTCATCTGAGGATCGGTGATTTCACCGTATGACATTCAGCTTTCCTAGCTGAATACCAAAATGGTTTGTGATAAATAAACTTAAGCCAGAGCCAATGATGTATTTATATTTCCAGTCATCAAATTTCTGGAAATATGCCTGGAATTTACATGTAAAACCTTTCAACAACATATAGTGTGTTACATGTACTTGTGGTTTTGGAGGGGAGGGCTGGATAATGAATATTCCAGTGAACTTCACGTATTTTATCTTGGGAGGAAAAAGAAAACAAACACATTCCTTAATGTAAATATACCTTTTTGCTATTATTATAAAGATTGTAAAGGTTTTGGAGAACACCAAATAATGTGAAAAAATAAAATAAAATCATCCATAATCCTGTATCAAGGTAACCATTGTTTATATTTTAGAATTAAGAAACATATATCAAGCAACTGGCAAATCCTGTAACAGAAACAGATTCTAAACTCCATGGGTCAGTACAATGTTCAAACTTACTGTAAAACTGTCAAACTCCTCCACTCTAACACAATTTTTATACTCTGATTTTTCAACACCAATATTTTGAAAACTGCAGAGCAAGCTGCATGGAAATTTTTCCATTTATCTAAGGTATTAAGATCCTTCCCAACTGAAAGACACAGGTTTTTAGGCCAGTTAATAACTAAAATGGGATGTCAAAGGCAACAGGCTCTCCAGGGCTTTTTATTTTAAGAAAAGCTTACTTCGACCCCTGGCACTCAGAGTATGGCCCAGGGGCCAGTATCCACCATGAGATAAGTTCAGAAAATGAAGGTGCTTAGAAACTTCTTTAGCAATTTGACCTTGCCATAACATTTTAACTGTATTTTATAAAAGTCATCAATCAGTCTGCAATGAAATAGGAAGTTTTTTAAATGGTCTTTGACCACATTTTTTTTTTTTTAAAGAAACAATTTAGACAAAACCACTTTATCCAAACTATTTATATCCTGCTTGAAGCAACAGTTTTAAAACAAATAAAAAGTTTAGTCCAGGAAATTGCTGAAATTCTTCCCTAACTAGTGGCATATTAATCTTCCTTCCACAGGCATTTTCACTGGCCCCTGGCCCCAACTATCAAAACCAGCACCTAGTTGCTAATTAGAATACAGATATTATTATCTCTTTTAATGCTAGAAGAGACCCTTGAGAGAATCAAAACCATTTTTCCTAAGGAAAAATTGAGAGGCCCTGAGAGGTCAAACACTGACATCTAGACTTGTCTTAGGGCTCCCCTGCTATTTCGATGAGGGTTCTCACTCAACAGGTTTAGAGCCTCTCCTGCCTCTGCCTAACCCCTCCTCCCTCTCCTAGCAAATACCTCGAAAGATGCTTTCGGATTTAGTCAAGGAATTATGTAACATCATCTTAAAGAGGCCCCATTCTTTTATTTAGTAAACATTTTATAACCATTGAAAAAAGCATATCTTTTGTTGGAAATTGCATGGTTTACAAAATGGTATTGCTTCTACAAAAATTCCAAGGTTTAAAAAAATCTTCTGGTCGGGCTTCCCTGGTGGCACAGTGGTTGAGAGTCCGCCTGCTGACGCAGGGGACACGGGTTCGTGCCCCGGTCTGGGAAGATCCCACATGCCGCAGAGCGGCTGGGCCCGTGAGCCATGGCCGCTGAGCCTGCGCGTTCGGAGCCTGTGCTCCGCAACGGGAGAGGCCACGGCAGTAAGAGGCCCACGTACCACAAAAAAAAAAAAAATCTTCTGGTAGAATTTATGATCTATAAGTTCCCTTTCATTGAAGAAATACGATTATACAAAACAAAAAAAAAACCCAAAAGAACCTAAATACATATATGTTTAAATTATGGGCATCACAAAAGTTTTCCTTCTATGAGTCAAATTTGTTTTTAAATCACTAATTTATAGTCTCAATATTTTGAATCTCAGATATCATGATTATAGACATTGTGTTTAATATTCAGTGTTGACATTCATGCAATTTATACAGCTTATTTTTTAACTGATAAAATCCAACACTTGGGTCATTAAGAAAACACTGAAGAAAAACAGAACCATTCCAGTATTCTTACCTTGGACCCTGACAACATACTGGTCAACAGTTTTGTTCCCCTTCCAATTCCAACCACTACAAATCAAAGAAAGAAATATCATGACACTCTATTGTAAAACTAGGTTTTAGAAATGTTTTATGACATACATTGGTCATAATTTCTTGGCATATGTAATGTAAAGTTGGAAAACCATTTATTTAGCATAATGTGAGGACTCCTATTACTCCAATCGGTTGAACTTGTCCTGCAAGTAAGAAATTCTGAAGTGCAAGTGGGAGACTTTTTTTCCTTTTCCGAAGTGTGAAACATAATAGAAACCTCAATCCAGACAATTAGATAACAAAAAGTTTTGGAAAAACCTCAAAGGACTCACTGGAATTTTATATGGGCATCAGTGAAAATACATGGTACAATTAATCTTGGTATGATAAAATATTTGACAGAGTTCATTATTAAACAAAGCAAAAGCCATCATCATAACTAATGAACCATTTAAAGATGATTAGTGCCCAGTAGCATACAACCAAGAAAATAGAAACAACAAATCAACCCAACACAAAAAAGAATACAGGGTAAAATGAGAGCCTGGAGAGTGTATGTTCGTGTAGGCCGTACACAAAGTACAATGGCTCACGTCTCCTCAATTTCAAACATTATCCTTCTGACAACACATTTCACCAGCCAAGGATGAGAGGACATAATCATTTCTTCACCTAATAGCAAGCAAATTTTTGTAAGAATTGAAGTATTTCTCATTAATGGATACAATTTTGTAAAAGAACACAATATAACCACCACAATTCAGAATTATAAGCAACAAGGAGAAATGACTGGCAAGCTAAAAGAATTATCATGAATATTTATAGCAAATTCACTGAGTTTACTATGAATCAAATTCTACTCTAGATGTTTTCCATTCATTAGCTCATTTAATCCTTATAACAACCCTGAAAGATAATACAATTAACCCCATTTGATAGGTGAGGAAACTGAGGCATAGAGAGACTAAGAACTTTGCCCAGCACCTCACAACTAGTAAATGGTGGAGTTAAAGTTCAAACCAGACTAACAGCAGACCCCCTTCCTCTCATCCTCCCTGCCACCTTACTCATCTAGGCATTCTTCCCACTGCCACCAGCCTAAATCAGCCTATATACTGTAAACCTAGCTATTCTACATCTTATCCCTTCCTCTCCCAATTCATACCATTTCAGAAAACCTATACTGCACAAAGCCCCCAAACAATCCTCAATAGGGTCCCAATGCCTACAGTACCAACTCCTTAGTAAAGTATTCAAAGTCCATCCTTTGAAACACAGCTCACATCCCAACTCCTTCATCAAGTCCATCCCAAACCCCCGCCTCTCTCGGCTTCTCTGACAGGCATATTGGTTCAAGGACCAACATAGAAACTGTCTGCCTTCAGGATCCTCTGTTGAGCATAGCACTCTTCAAATAACAGCAGCTGCTGTGGAGGCAAAAACTTTGTACAATAATAAAAGATTCAATTCAATTTTATTCCATTCAAGAATCCCCAATCAATATTTTGCAAGGAGCTACCATGCACTCAATGCCAAGAAGAACACTTTTAATGGAACAGCACATTTCCTGACTTTGAAAGAGCTTATAATCTGATGGGGAAAATACAATACAGATAAGGGAAACTGCAAGTGCTCAAAAAACTGTTGCCTGAATTAATGAGTGAATAACTCTAAATAACAATACAACGGTATATGATTGTGTCAAAATGAACACCGAGAGAATAACTGCTGTAGGAGGTCAAAGGAGGGAGCACTCTAAATGGCTACAGAGGCCAGAGAATGCTTCATTCAAACATTTAGTGTGAGTTAGGGCTTAAAGGATGTACAGGATTTGAAGATGCAGACAAGAGAGAAGCATGTTCTAAGGAAGGAACAAACTGACAAATTCTCAGATACAAGGATGAGCACAGTGGGTTTCTCAACCAGAGTGCAGGGCGTCTTAAGAGCAGGCTGATGTGTTTGATTCTATCATGGTTTAAATGCTGGACTGATGATGATTTCTGTGCTAGTTCAGTGATCCAGAATGAAACAAGAAGGCATCTTAGAGTTACCCAGCTTAACGCTCTCATTTTATATCCAAGAAGACCAAGGCCCATTGAAGTTAGGTGATTAGTGAAAGCAGAATTTTAGGAAGACTAATACAGAAGTGGTATATAGAAAAATTAACTGGAGTTGAGACCTAGCCAACCAGCAGCTTTTCATTCAAGGGGCAGTTTATGGGACAGAATTTTTATTCAGCTTTTTCCCATTCCACCGTTCAAAATTTTATTGTATACGTACAGAAATAAATAAGACCTGGTTTTAGCCCTCAGTGAGTTAACAAAAACAAAGAATACAGTGAAGTTTTACACTGGCAATATAAAAAAGCAAGTGGGCAGGCTTCACATGTAGGAGACAGCATTTTAACCAAATCAGGAAAGGTTAGTAGGATTTCTACAACTAAAGAAGACAGAGATGAGCAGTTTATCTGAGAGGAAAAGCATAAGCAAATACACAACAGTTTGAAAAAGTGTGCAGAATTAGAATAATGAATGAAAACCAGGATTTTCCAAGTACTGTCTCACAATTACTACTCTATCTCCCAAGTTTTCTGTGCTCAGATGTTTCTCTATAAAAAAATAAAGCCACTGTCTCCAAACCTGTACAAATGTCCTAATACTCTATTCTCAAATCATTGAATTTATTTATGATGAGAGTCACTTTAGGGACGGCAAGTCTATTACACATGTTAATTCCAAAGCATTTTGCAGTTGGAAGTTTCTACGGCCATTTATCTAACTCTCCAAGACCCTTGCAATCACTTGAAAAGACCAGTATCTTTCCACTTCCAGGAATCTATCTTAATAATCCAAAACAAAGAGGAAGTTTTATTCATAAAGATGATCCTTACAAAATCAGTCCTACTAACAAAACTGGTAATAACCTCCAATGACCTCAAATAAGGAAATGGTTAAATCAATATGACATCACATGATATTGCCATTAAAAATAATGTTTATTTCCCTCTTAGAACTGCTTTTGCCACATCCCATAAGTTTTAATATGTTGTATTTGCATTTTATTTGTCTCAAGATATTTTTTGATTTCCCTTTTGATTTCTTCCTTGACCCACTGATTATTCAGAAGTGTGTTATTTAATATCGCTTTCCTCCTGTAATTGATTTCTAGTTTCTTACCACTGTGGTTGGAGAAGATACTTGATATGATTTCAACACTTTAAACATATACAATTATATTGGTCAATTATTCCTCAATAAAGTCTAAAAAAAGAAAAAATTTACAAATTTTTTTAATTAACATGAAAAAATGCTATGTTATGATGTTAAGTAAAAAAAGGATACAATGTACATACATACAGTAAAACAGGTCAACTTAAAAATTCTGCATAGACAAAAAGCTAGGAAGAAATATAACAAAAATGTTAACAGTGATTATTGCTGGAAGGTAGAAAATGTATAAGTTTTATTTTCAACTTTTTTTGTATTTTCTAAATTTTTTCACTGTAATTTTCTAACCTCTAAAGTTAAAAAATAACTTCTAAAATGATGTATAGGGCTTCCCTGGTGGCGCAGTGGTTGAGAGTCCGCCTGCCGATGCAGGGGACACGGGTTCGTGCCCCACCCCGGGAAGATCCCACATGCCGCGGAGCGGCTGGGCCCATGAGCCATGGCCGCTGAGCCTGCGCATCCGGAGCCTGTGCTCCGCAACAGGAGAGGCCACAACAGTGAGAGGCCCGCGTACCGCAAAAAACAAAAAACAAATAAAATGGTGTATAAAAACTCAATTTCCATTTTAAGTGATTTATAATAGATGGGTATATTAGTTTCCTATTGCTGCTGTAATAAATTACCAACATAGTGGTTTAAAACAAAACAAACTTATTATCCTACAGTTCTAGAGGTCAGGAGTCTAAGGTGGGTTTTACTACGATAAAAATCAAGGTGTCAGCACAACTGCATTCTTTTCTGGAGGCCCTAGGGGAAAATCTTTCTCTGGAGCCTTCTTAGAGGAGTTTTCTTGCCTTTTCCAGCTTCTAGAAGCTGTTCATCTTCCTTGGTTCATGGCCCCCTTCCTCATCAAGGCCAGCAATCTCATCACTACAAACTCTGCTTCCATCGCCACATCTTTTTTGACACTCTTCTGCCTCCTCTTCCACTTTTAAAGACCCTTCTGATTACGCTGGATCCACCAGGATATTCCAGGATATCTCTTAAAGTCAACTAATGAACAACATTAATTCCACGTGCAACTTTAATGCCCCCTCGTTACATAACCTAACATACTCATAGGTTCTGGAGATTAGGACACGGACATCTTTAGGGGGGCCATTATTCTGCTTATCACAGCAGCACATTTTATCCTCTTCCTTCTTAGATTTATGGTGCTGTGCCTTAGAAAACAGAAGGTTATAATAAATAGGCTTCAACTCTAGAAGAGCTGAACTGGTAAGAATCCTGAAGCCACTTCTAGAACCAATGGCAAAGAATGCTGTGATTGACTGGTAATTTCTGCTATGGACATGGGGAGCAGGGAACAAAGGCAGGAGTGCTAGGTATTTGCCATCCCAGGTTAGGACAGAGACTTTAAAACTGAGCAGGTCCAGGTTCAGCTCCTGACCTTGCCACTAACTATGGGACGGACCTCACATACAATAAGTGCTCAATAAATGATTATTATTAGTTATGATAAGAAACAGTAATTAAGGTATCAGAATTTGCCTATTCAAGTTCTCTAATTCAGGAAAATGAATTTCCATGTGTTTTTTTTCTATTTTAACCTCAGGTAAAGATGTTTTTGTCAACATGCATCAAATAAAATCTGTAATTTCAGAAAATGCAAAATCATAAACTGCTTCTAATTTTCTTGAAAAATACAATTTTATTCACCAATTTTATCCTTTTCTTCTAAGTAAGCATTCATTTCCTTTGGCTAGCTTAGATCAGGTTTGTTTTTATTTGTATCTAATTTCAGCGCTAATAAAATGGATTGGATCATGTAGCACAGTATTTTTTAAAGCATGAGTCACAATCCATTAGGGCAGCATGAAATCAATTTGCTGGATTATGATCAACATTTTTTAAAAAATGGAATACAATAAAATATAAAACACCAGGGCATATAAAAAGCTAAGTATTGTTCCATAAAAGTATTTTTCTAGTATGTGGGGAAGGGGGAGATAGGGAGAATCCCAACATATGTATTTCTGTGACTGTGGATACAGTTACAAGTGGATAAACACTTTAGCAGTCTATAAAGATAGACCAGAACCTCTACTAGATGCAAAAAAAAAAAAAAAAAAAAGGAGGGAAGAAAAAAGGAAAAATGACTCCTCTCCCCTCAATCAATTCTATCAATTTTCCTCCACATACAATAAGACATTCAACTAATGTCCCCAAGACAGAGTGACTTCCTCTGAAGAACTATAAGATTCGCCTTCTCAAGAGAGCTAATGTCAGCGTTAGATTCGATATAGGCAGAACAAAGAGCCATATACCTTGTCAGGAGTCCCCAAGACTATCCCACCCTGGAAGATTCATCCATGACTAAGATTTACCTACCGTGACATCCTAAGGTTACACAGCTGTATCCTAAGGGTAAAGACACTGGAGAAAATCCATACTCAGGTTCCTTATTCTCTCTCCCTCTTATGAGGGCGGACACTTGAGCACATTCCTTCCTCCAACAATCCAACAAGGAATAACATGTGTACAATGTTCCTGCTCAAGGGAGCCCATTAGAAACTCAGCACCCAAAGTTTTTATTGGAGGGGATGAGAGGAATGGTCACCTAGACACCCTCTGCCTGCATGGTGGGACAAAATCCCAGATCCCAAGATAGAAAGCAGGCATTTAGCATAAACCACACTGTTCACACAAACAGTCAAGGCACAGTAAACCCATCCTTATCGGATGGGGAAAGGTGGGAACACAACCAAATCCAAGCCCCCAGATGCAAGCAGGCCTTTCTAAAGACAGTGATTTCAGGCCCGCTATGTTAACTCTTTTCTGCACAGATACAAACCCTTTCTCAAAGTCCATCCAGACATAAAAGTGGCTATTTCTAACAGCCTTCTATACCTTGTGCCAAATGATACAAGGGCTTCTTGAGAAGATGGCACTATAAATCCAGTAGATCTGAAATATTCCAAAGTAGACTGAAAATGGCACGGCCTTAGTTAATTTTATCTGTTCTTAATCAATATTTCTTTCTGATGTAAGTGGCAGTTACATCAAACTTCCATTCGTATCTCTTACCCAGGACTCCTCGGGCTGCACTGTCTAGAGTCCCTCCATGCCCAATTTTCAAAGTCTGCTTTTTCCTCTTGGTCCATTCTGGAGAAGGCATTCCAGCTTCTATAAGAGTAATTGGGATGAAAAAAAGGTAATTACTGAGACAAATGAAGTAGAATCTCCATAAATATGGGATGAGGCAGTGTGGATGGAGTACTCAAAACAAATAAAAAGTACTGTACAAACTTAATATGTTAAGATTATGACGATATTACTAACAAAGGACAGACTTTAAAATGTACAGATGCTCCCTAAATTACAAAGAAATAGTATTCCCAAATTAGTTGTCTAGAAACTAGAATTCATTTTCCAAGGAAAAGAAAAAATTTTTTTTTAAAGTGGGTAAATATCCAGACGAACCCACAAAGATCTAGTAAAGTCCTGGTAGTAGTGGGCTGGTAGATAGAGAATGATGAAAAGAAGTTTGTTTTTACATAGGCAGCTAGTTTTTAAAGTCCTCAATTTCATTTCCAAAATCTCTTTTGTTCCCTGGTGTTCTTTGCTGGTCTCTCCAGCTACCTAAATGTTGGGAGTACATCTCATACAGGGTTACTTCTGAGAACACTAAGTTCCCAAACTATCTGTAGGTCTGTCCTCCTCTCCTAATCAAAACTCTCAATTCCTTAAAGAAGCTAATCTCAACAAAAGGTTATGTGGGAAGAGGGTAACAGTTTAAGTTGCCACTTATACTCCAAAGCATTTAGATATTAAAAAAGAAAGAAAGAAAAAAGCCAACCTGGCCTATCTCATATTCCTATTGTAAAAAATAAAATGAAATAATGCGATCTGAATGTGCTTTGGAAACTCAAAGCACTATAACAATATGCTGTTATTATCATCATCCTCATCATCATGGCATATAACATTATATTGAGAGAATATTGGCTAACTAGGCTTCAAATGAGAAAGGAGAGAACAGCAGGAAGAGCTCTACTGATCTGTACCCCTCCAAACCCATCAAACCTTCCTTATTACCACTGACACAGAGAAGATGGAAAATAGAGTAAAAGAAAATGAAAAGAGAGGGCAGAGACAGGAAAGGAGGGAAGGCAGAGTAACAGTGAAGAAGCCAGATTCAATGGCCCAAAGGATAAGCTGGGTTGTAATTACCACCTTACTGAGTCAGAACTCAGTCTGGAACACAGTCCTATTGTCACTCTCTGATTACAACATCACCCTGCTTGGAAGGACATGACCATATGCTTTAACATAAATCTGTAAGGCGAGGCCTAGGCTTCAAACGCTTCACTTTCACTTGTAACCCATTATGAATCTCTTGTACTGTATTCATAGAAATATTTTGGGGAACTCTTTGTATTTTCTTTTATTTTTTTATTTTTATTTTTATAATATTCTTTTTTCTTTAAACCCCACATTTGTTTATTTATTTATTTTTGGCTGTGTTGGGTCTTCGCTTCTGTGCGAGGGCTTTCTCTAGTTGTGGCAAGCGGGGGCCCCTCTTCATCGCGGTGCGCGGGCCTCTCACTATCGTGGCCTCTCTTGTTGCGGAGCACAGGCTCCAGACGCGCAGGCTCAGTAGTTGTGGCTCACGGGCCTAGTTGCCCTGCGGCATGTGGGATCTTCCCAGACCAGGGCTCGAACCTGTGTCCCCTGCATTAGCAGGCAGATTCTCAACCACTGCGCCACCAGGGAAGCCCTGTATTTTTAACTTGATGGTCCTTGGAGTGTGGAGGCCCTAAAATTTACTGTCTTCCCTTTGTGTCCAAATTTACCTCTTTCAATTTTGAAGACACACTGTCTCTACTACATTGGAATTTGGTTCACCCCACTGGTACCATTCATGGATGAGTATTTATTAAGATCTTTTCTAGCTATAAAATTCTGATATGTTTTAGTCCTTGAAGGATTCAAAAAGACGGAAGAGCAGAGATTTTAGTACGACATGAATCAATGTAAGGAAAGGCAAGGAATGTTAGTAGCGAGCATGACAACTGACTGCGGCCTAAATCAGCGGTTGTCAAACCTGGCTGGCATTAGAATGTCTTGCCCTGGAATCTGTATCTTTAAGAGGACCTTCCCAGACAATTCTGACAGCCAGTTAGAATGGCATTTGGGAAGCCCTGGTCTGGCTAACATAAATATAGAATAGGCCAATCACAAGCAATATAGAAATGGAGAGTAATGAGAATGTCTACTTCTGAGTGAGTGGCTTCCAGAAGATGGTCCAGCAACAGCCTTGAAACAATCAATTTTAACTAAGTTTCAAGAGGAATTTCAGTTCTTGGTAGGCAGATTAATCAGAAGGCCAGGATATGGCTTTAATCCTATCAGAAACTTGTCTGAAAGAAAGAATGATAATCATTACCTTGAGGATCAAAAAAGCCTTAGCTTAGCTAACAAATCAGGCCAAATGAAAGCAATTCTATGAAGGAAACAACTCCATGATGACACCACAAAGCTTGTCCTTGATGTAGTTCCTTCCTTCAGCATCCCGTATATGACCCATCCTTACAGGTAACAAAGTATAATGAAAGTATAACAAAAGAATAAGCAGATATAACATAGGTATTAAACATCTTCAGGAATGTACCTTTGCCAATAAACATTTGAATCTGTATTGTGTCAGTTTTAATTAACAAATTCCTACCAGAATATTTGCTTTTGCAGTAAAAAGGGTGGGGGAGGCGGTAACATTTGCCAGGGGACACTAAACAAAGAAGAAATTTCCTGTACTGATTTCATGGAAAAATAAGCCAGGGCCAAACTCTGGAGGGCCTTGAAAACCCAGTTAAATAGTTTTATCACCAAAGTTTGCAGAAATTACTGCTATGAGCTTAGCAAGACACAGTGTCTTTCACCCTCACCTCTCCATAGGCTAGCACAGGTCTGACTTATTGCAAGATCCAAAGAAATCCAAGGTTCCTTGATTCCATTGCCTGAAATGATCTACTGGACTGATGAACTGAGAGATCCTTCAGGCTTTTCTAATATTCTCCCAGTGCATATGAGGAAACAAACAAACAAACAAAAAGGTGCTCTTAGAAGTGACCAAGTTATATTTAGTGTTCGTCAAAATGTGGTCCATTGACTACTTACACCAGAATCACCCGGAGCAACAGTTTAAAAATGCAGTTTCCTAAAAATACCCCATATCCTCAGAATCACAGTCTCTGAGGGGGGCAAGGATTAGGAATCTGCATTTGTACAAGGGACTCTAAATAATTCTTATGCCCACTATATGAAAACCACTGTGTTGAGTCTTGGTTAACTAAGTAACATCCGCATTTCCAACATATTTTTAGGAATGCAACTTTGGGGTGTAGAGAGCCAGTGATTCCGTTGGGTAGAGTTTATCTACGTGAGCCAAACAAAAGGCTTCTGAGGGATCAGATTGTAGAAAACTCGTCTGCAGGCCCAAGAGCAGAGGTTTATTTGTGGATGTGTGGGTTTTGCTTTTTGTTTTTGTTTTTTTTTTCCCTTGAGAACGACAACTGCCAACTAGGCTACAGGAGTTCACGTCAGGACAAGTCCAAGCCGGAGATGCCCCAGATTTCTGTCCAGAGCTTACACTGTGGCCGTTCTCCCTTTCCCTTCCTCTTATCTCTTGAGCCACGAGAGCGCGAAAAGCCCAGTGTGCTCTGTACGGCTTCCGCTCTCACGGCGACCGCCTCGCCTCGGCCTGGTCCCCACCCGGCTGCAGTACCTGCCAGCAGCTTCTCCTTCAGCCGATTCAGCAGCTCGGCTGAAGTGGGCCCTTTGGGCTTGTGCACGGCGAACACGCCGCTCAGGGACAGCAGCTTAGTAGCCAACGCGGGCTTGGAGACCCTGGCTTCGGATCCGGTCCTGGCCGCAATCGCCGCGGCTGCAGCCATCGCTGAGGATGTGGCGGCCGTGGCTGCAGCCATTTCTGCACTTTCGGGGACTGGGGCTGTGTCTGGTTTCAAGGATGACGATGATACCACCGCCGCCTCAGCAGCTGCCATACTTTCGTAGCCCAGACCTGTTTTGTTTCGTGGAGTCGCACGCTAATGACGCAAAAGGAGTGCGCCCAACAACCCCCCAGTCTTTCCCCTTGCTTCGAAGCTGCCCGGGCGGAGTGGGGTCGCAAGGGCTTGTGGGGATTGTAGTCCATGGCTTTCCCGTGCTGGCCGAGAGTCGCTGAGTCTTCCGAGGGCTCTGATGCAGTAGTTTTTCTCGTATACTACTGCCTGCTTCTTAGGTGGGGTTAGTTCGGTGCCGCAGGTGTAATTTGGGGTTGCCGAACCCAAACACCAAGTCTGTGTATAGTTTCGGCGAGAAATCTCTTCACATCTCTCCCCCCGCCCCCTTCAAGAATTAAGCAGGTCAGCAACCAAGAATAGAAAACTTAAAATGCTGACTTCCGCTGCAGCTTGTGAAGAACCACGGCTCCCGTGGTTCACTGCTTTATTCAATTTATTGTGCTCTTGGATTCATGGTTCAGAATTAAAATACACCTGAATGTAATCTCAGAGCAAAGAACATGTTTACCTTGTTCACTGCTGTATTCCAGTGCCTCACACGTAGCAGGCACTTAAATATTTGGGAACAGATAAATGGATACGAGTTCTTCAAATTCCTGAAAGAAACCTCTAGGCCAAGCCAGTGCTAAATCACGTAGGCTTATTTTGATGCCCTTCATGCACTCCTTTCCACCCCCCAAACCCCACAACTCACATGTAATTCTTAAGGATTCTAAGATATTTAATTCTAAGTCTTCTGTGGATTGCATCCTTTAGTAACACATTGCTTAGGCATTATTGCAGTTCATAAAATTAAACTTTACTTTAGATTTTAGACCTCTCTGGAAGTTATTCACTCCCCAACAAAATTCAGGAACACTGTTCTGATCCTGGCACAAGGCAAAGTGGAGAAAAATTCTTCATCTTACTTCTGCATCAGATATATTAAAATGGTATTACAAGTGTTGTGAGACAGATAAAGTTTGTCTTCATTGTTCCTACAAGTTTCCTTACAGCCACCCTTTCTCCTCATCATCCTTTTTCACATTTATATCTGTTATCCTAATGATGCCTCTTAGCTATTCACAATCACCAATTATGGGATCCCATTTGAACTTGCCCCATTCATTCAAGAAGAACGAAAAAAGGTTTTAAATACAATAATTATTTCTTCCTATATTTCCACCCTTCCCTGCCTCAGTCAGATCACCGGACTCTTATGAAATCTATGGGGTGCACAACAACGTAAATGTACTTAATGCCACATAACTGTACACTTTAAAATGGTTAAAATGGGAAATTTTATGTGATGTATAATATACCACAAAAAGAAAGAAAAAAAAACCCAGCATCTGTGGAGGAGTGGGAAAGGGAGGGAGAGTTTTTGTAGGGTGGAAAGCTGAAATTCCTAGAAGCAGTTTACTTACTCTTGTGGTCTATTATAAAAACCTAAGCTAACTGAAAACATTATGCACAGGATGCCTTGGAGGCCAGAAGAGAAGAGAATTGTTTTGAGAATCAGGAGAGAGAAACTGAAAGATTGACAGGTCCCATGATTAGTGAATACCTGAGCCTGCTTCAGGATTTTCCCTTCTCCAGGGAGGTGGCTCGGCTTCAGAGGAGATGGCTACAACCTAGGGGGCAAAGCGTCCTTTAGCCTCGGTAAGATTTCTGTGCTCTCCTCTTGGCAGAGAAAGTTTAAAGCAGGCTTGAACTATGATGACTTGGAAATTAGAGAGCCTTTTCCCAGTTGTCTAGACATCAGTAAGCCTCCCTAATTCTGCTGTGACTCCGATGGGGGGAGTGGAGGGAGGACATAACTAGGGGTGAAAAAATAACGCTTTCATTTGAATTTTCCACAAGCGCATTGCAGAATCAGAGCTCATTTGATTAATAGAAAACAAAGAAATAAGTATTTCTTGTACATTTTATTTCCTGGATGCTAGGGAACAGCAAAATTAATTCAACTCTGCTATCAAATCTGTATTATTGGCATCAGAAGCATCAAGTTCTAATTTTCTGAGGTAACCAACATCTCCCACATTGGGCAAGCCTTGCATTTATAAGTTATCTTAATATATGTGTGAGTTAGGATTCTTTGGTTGGGAGTGACTGAAACTGATTCGTATCAGCTTAGAATTTATCAGAAGGATTCTTTTTAAAAAGGGTTTATCAGAATTGTACTGGAATATTATGCAGAACCTGGGAAGTTCTCTCTTTTTCTCCCTCTCTCCCCACATCCTCCTTTCACGCTACTCTCTTGTGTCTTTTTTGTTCTTCTCTTTTGCTTCTAACAGGCTTTTTTTCTACTTACTCCTTACTCCACATTCTTGGTTTAGACCATCCTGTTTTGATCCAATTCCAAAAATATCCTGGATGAAGCCACGCCTGGCCACCTAATGAACATAGCACTTCATTAATTTCATTCCACAGCACTTTCCTTGATTATTTTCCTGCTTGATTTTTCTCCATAGCGTGTTTCATACCAAATATTTACTTATTTTGCTTAATGTCTTATTTCCTCCATCAGAATGTAAGCTCTGTGAGGAATTTTTGTATGCTTTAGTCGCTGCTATATCTCCAGGCCCTGGAATAGTGTCAGATATAGCACTCAATAAATAGTAGTTGAATAAAGGAATGAATAAACATGGCAGCTCCAGCAGAAACCATGTAGATAGAGGGGAATAGCGCCAGTTCCCGGAAAAGTAGAGTGCTGGACACATAAAATATGTATATTCCCAGTGTAGCTTATCTCATGTGGCCTCAAATGTTTTTATCTCCATTTTATATGTATGGAACTGAAGCAAAGAAAAAATAAGACTACCTACTGCTATGTAAAACTTCAGCTTTCTAGACTAGCTTCCATGCTGTCCTCAACTACCCATGTGCCTCCAAAGATTGTTAATTAATGGGAATCAAAAATTGATAAGACTTTCAGGTTTTATTCCAAATCTGTCACTGGCTCCCCCATGGTTGTATCACTGGGGCACTTCTCTGGTCCTTGCTATAGGTATGTGTGCCTGGGAGAGCTGCTCTTTACAAAGGCTTCTCCAACTGTTGCTCATCTGTGCAACTTTCTATAGATGACAGAATCATAGAAAGTAGTGCTTGATGGGGACTTCCCTGGTGGCGCAGTAGTTAAGAATCCGCCTGCCAATGCAGGGGACACAGGTTCGAGCCCTGGTCCGAGAAGATCCCACATGCCACGGAGCAACTAAGCCCCTGCACCACAGCTACTGAGCCTGTGCTCTAGAGCCTGCGAGCCACAACTACTGAAGTCCAGGCACCTAGAGCTTGTGCTCCGCAACAAGAGAAGCCACTGCAGTGAGAAGCCCGTGCACCACAACCAAGAGTAGCCCCCGCTCACCACAACTAGAGAAAGCCTGCGCGCAGCAATGAAGACCCATTGCAGCCAAAAATAAATAAATAAATTTTTAAAACATAATAAGGCAATCTGATAAACTATCCCTATGAAGGTATGATGTTGAATCAAATAAAACTACTACTTGTGTAGGTCAAAATGTTTGAATATCAGCAATTTCAATCTAATATTAACACCTGATAATAATTTTACGTGTCATTTCTCTAGGGGTATTTCCATTTTAGTGGAGGAATCCAAGAGACAACATTTCAGATCAGGAAAGGCAGATACTTGTGAACATGGAAACATTCAGATGCCTGCCGAATTACACCATACCCAACCTACACTTTCTTGACAGTTTGTTCCATTAAGCTGTACCAATATCTCTTTATGGCATTGTCAACTCGTACCCATTCAAATAAATTAATGTTCCCATCTCAGCTGACTCATTTGGCAGTAAAAGCTAGTTCACATGCCAATGCATTAGCTGGCTCACATGACCTCTCTATGAAAAAAAGCACATTTTCACAGTAATAAGAAAAAAGGAGCAGTATGCCCTCCCTTGCCCAATGTAGTAGCTCAGGTTAAACAAATGTGAAAAGTTTTAAGGGGCAAAGAGATGGAAAAGAGGAGATACAATGAAGAAAGACCTGGAACAATACAGACGTTTTACAATGTATAAAATAAGAGTGCTTGACATTTTGTGTTTTTAGGTCCATAAAGAGATGACTGTAATTACTCCTGAGCTCTCAGAATGTTTATTCAAAGAGCATAATTGATTCCCTACAATGTACACAATGTTATCGAGATACATTAAGGACATTTAATAAACTCTGAAATTAAATCAATATATACAATTATAAATATTAAATTTGTATTAAAGGGCATGAATAATATAAATATTGATAGTTTAAGACAAACTACATATACGTGATTATATATATTAGCTAAATTACAAATACAAAAGAACAGATTACTCTGTGACTGGTCAAATGTTGCCTTTAATGCTGCCAAAGCGACACAGTAGATCTGATTGTTTTTATTTTATTTACCATTCATTTGTACAACAAATATTTATTATGCACATGCTCTGTGATAGGCACATGAAATAACTTTCATATTGACCACTGCTGCAAATAAAGTCATTTATAAACAGCCTGGAGAAAGTGTTATCGGTATCTGTTTTTAAGTAGGCTCTGAGGATTTGGAATATTTAAAACTGTTCTATATTCACATTCCAAAGATAATGTACAAATTGTCTTCATTGATTAATCTATGCTATCATAAGCTGGGGAAATGTCGTTCTATGACTTCAGTTTTCTTTAAAGGTTTAATAATGTTCTCCACTTGAGGAAGGGTTTAAGCCTGGACTCAGAGACAGAGGTGATGGATGTTTCCCATTACCCGGTTGAATGAAAAGCTTCTTACTTAGCATGGACTATGCCTAGAGGCTAGCAGAAGAAGAAAGCTTTGCCCTGTCATTAGTTATCTCAAAACTCCTGAAGACTTCAACCTTTTCTATTACTACTTAATTGAATTTAGAAAATTATGATCTTCCTTTTGAATATTTTACAGGTTTTTAAATGTACGATTGATTTTTTCTTTTTTTGGCCTAGAGAATGTTTGGATGTGTTCATTCTAATCTGTGATTTGCTATCT